CCTTCCCCCCCTCACCCTTTTCTCCCCCCCCCACACACACAGCCATGTGGGTCTTTGAAGACCAAGAACAACAACAACAAAAAGCCAGAGACTGAGCTATAAATAAAAGCTTCAGCAGATGAGCCTGCACCCATCCCCAGGGCTCCCCAGTGAGCCCTGCGGAGAGAAGCCGGGCTAGGGAGCCCGGTGGGGTCCCTCGGAGGCGGGCTGTCCCTGACCCCTTGGAGGGAGGCAGGAGGTCTGGGTGGTGGGGTCTGGTTTGTCTAGTACTGCTGAGAAGCAGTAAGAATCCCAACTCCTGGTTTTGTGGAGCATTGAAGCTGGGTAAGTGGAGATGTTGGGGGGGGGGGTATTTGGTAGGTCTTGTAGATGGAAAGTGACATGCATTCTAAAATTAACTCGTTTTTAAGAGCTCCATCTGCCAGTTTTTCTTGAGATCTTTTTCTAAGCTCACCTTCAAGTAAAACGGTGATACGGTTCTATTTTTACTGCACCCTGGAAGGTCTTCTCAGACACATGGAGGATGGAAAACAACCACAAAATAGTATAAATTAGCAGACACTATAGGCAAGTGATTACTTGTTAGGCATTAACCAGTTGACTTTCTCATAGCTAAGTTTGTTAAAAAGAAAAAAAGTAAGCCTTGAGCTGTGCACTTCCCAAATGAAGATAAATTGTGTTGATCGTATGAGTCTCTGTCAGAGAGCGAGAGAGTTATATTCTAGTTTATGAAACTAGTTGAAACTGGTAATAGATAATGATAGACCAGACTCAGCCAGGCACCTGACACTCCTAATCCTCGTCATTCATAATCCTCACTATTCAGGAAGCTAAAATCTGAGGATCCAGGTTCAAAACTCCCCCAGGCAGGGAAGTCCAGGAGACTCATCACCACCAGAAAACAGGAATGGAGCTGTGGCTCAATTGGTAGAAAGACACTCTTGAGAGAGAGAAAAACAAAAAACAAAACTAAGGGAAGTCATCCCAGGCCCCGAGTTCAGGCCTCAGTATCTGAACACACACACATTGATTAAGATCAACAGTAACTGGACTTAGTCCTTTTGGGAGATGTCCAGCAGGACCATCAATCAATTACTGCCTAGAGTGATTTGATTCATTATGTAATCCTTTCAGGTATTTAAACTTTAATATCTAGTTTGAATTTTATTTTATTAAAAAGCAATCTTTAAACAAAAAGTAAGTATAAGTAAATAACAAATGACAAAAGCAGAAAGGCCTAGACCATGGCTCAAATGGTAGAATGCCAGTCTAGCAAGTATAAGGCCCAGAGTTCAACCACAGCACTGAAAAAAGAAAGGAAGGAAAAAAAAAAAAGATCCTCCGTGCAAATCAATATTGGGCTTCACAAAAAAGCCAAAAATAGAGCTAACCTATGACCCTGCTCATAACCACATTTAGGTATACATCTGAAGGGTTGTAAATCAACATACAAGACTGATAGATGGGCTGGGAAGGTGGCTCAGTGGTAGAGCGCTTGCCTTGCATGCCAGAGGCCCTGGGTTCAATTACTCAGCACCACATAAGCAAACAGAAAAAAGCCGGAAGTGGCGCGGTGGCTCAAGTGGTAGAGCGCTCGCCTTGAGCTGAAGAGCTGAGGGACAGCACCCAGACCTAGAGTTCAAGCCCCATGACCGGACCCAAAAAAAATATTAAAAAAAAAAACAAGACAGATAAACACATGTTTACCCAGGCTTATGGAAAATGCCAGACTAGCCTGAGCTAGTGCCAAAAAAGTGAACAAGGGGCTGGGAAAGTGGCTCAGTGGTAGAGTGCTTGCCTTTCACAGGTTCAATTCCTCAGCACCACATAAGCAGAAAAAACCGGAAGTGGTGCTGTGGCTCAAGTGGTAGAGCGCTCTCCTTGAGCTGAAGAGCTGAGGACAGTGCCCAGGCCCAGAGTTCAGGCCCCATCACCGACACACACACACACACATACACACACACACAGAGCAAACAAAAAAGATGTGCTGTTGCAATCCCAGCACTTGGAAAACCAGGGCAGGAGAATCATGGTGGTCAGGAGTTCAAAACAAAACTGTTACAGAAAATGTTACATCTCAAAACAAAAATGTTACAGAAATATATTTGAGAGGGACAGATGATCATAATATTTTACTTTTTTTATTTCACTGGAGAGCTGGGAAGGTAGCTTAGAGGTAGAGTGCTTGCCTTGCATGCATGAAGCCCTGGGTTCAATTCCTCAGCACCACATAAACAGAAAAAGCTGGATGTGCTGCTATGCCTCAAGTGGCAGAATGTTCGCCTTGAGCAAAGGAAGCTCAGGGGCAGTGCCCAAGCCCTGAGTTCAAGCCCCACGACCGACCAAAAAGAAAAAAAAAAGTATCATAGACTTTCCTGCCTGGGCTGGGTTCGAACCAGTATCCTCATAGCTTAGCATCATGCTGGTGGTACCTATTTTTTTAACCTCCAATATAAACACTCCTTGCAGCTTCTTCATCCCTAATTCTAGCCCGAACAAAGCACCTTGCATTGTTACCTTAGTACGGTAGCCGACACCTCTTAAAAAGTAGTCAGGAAATGTTACTGTTTTCATTCCCTAGGATTCTTGCCACACTATTCAACTGCCTATTAAATTTATCCATTCATTTATGCAACCAACATTTATTGCCAGTTATAGGCCAAGCATTCAGGATGCAAAATGAATAATTCAACAGCTCCTAGCTCTCAAAGAGTGCATAGTGTCATTGGGGTGGTTAGCTATGTGCACAGCAAGCTCGTTTATAATTCAGAGTCCTAAGAATTTGGGGGGTGTTCTCCATGCAAATCTCAAATATCTTAGCAGATGAGATCATGTCACGTTCCAGAAGGGGCTAAACTAGTTTCCATGGTGGGTTTTCCTGAGGGGGGGAAAAATCCCTGCAATTATTCATAGCATTGTTTCTAAGGGAAAGTGTGTTCTGCATTCCTAACAGTCAACTTAAAATTGAAATTTTGGAATACAGCCAGTTTGCTCCTGGGGATGTATCTAAAAAAATGCCTATCTTTTTCAGGACCATTTAACCTCTTTACATCTCCCACCTGGGTTCCTATAGCCAGGGGTTCAACCTGAGGGTCAAGGGAGTTTTGCAATCACCCACATACCAGAAAGTGGGTACTACAATTACTTATAGGGTCCTTGACTCAAGCAGATAGTAATAAAGTAGCTTCAGGCCTAAGTTTGACTGTTTCATCTTTCTAGTTTCAGAGAAGATAACCAGAGTGGATCAGGTGAAGGCTGAAAGTTTTGGAATTACTGCCGGGTGAGAAATTAGAAAGGGCTGGGTACCACTAGCTCAAGCCTGTAATCCTAGGTCCTGGGGCTTGAACTCAGGGCCCCTGAGCTGCTTCTGCTCAATGCTAGTGCTCTACCACTTGAACCACAGGCTCTACTTCTGGCTTATTGGAGTTTATTGGAGATAAGAGTCACACAGATTTTCCTTCCCTGGGCTGGCTTCAAACCAGGATCCTCAGATCTCAACCTACTGAGCAGCTAGGATCAGAGGCGTGAGCCACCGGCGCCATAGCTTATAGCTGGTTTTAAAGCCTTCAAGCAGAATGTGTCCTCTCTTTCCACCTTGCCTTACCTCACCAAGCTTGCTAAACAACTAACCACGTGCAATATCAAGAGGAAAAGTGAAGCTGGGTGCCAGGGGCTCAAGCCTGTAATCCTAGGTCTTCAGGAGGCTGAGATCTGAGGATCAAACTTCAAGGCCAGCCTGGGCAGGAAAGTTGGCGAGACTCTTTTTATCTCCAGTGAACCACCAGAAAACCGGAAGTAGAGCTGTGACTCAGAAGAAGTAGAACTCTAGCCTTGAGCAGAAGAGCTCAGGCATTCCAAGGCCCTGTGTGGGTGGCTTTAAGTGGAGCAGAGTTGAAGGCCCTTCTTCCTGTTGGGAGGCTGGGAATCCCAAGGCTTGGAGTCCGAGGATCCACGCAGGTGGATGAAGTGTCTGAAGATGGTGTAAGAGGAATGGTGGCGGAGGGTGGTGAAGCAAACCTGATGTCCTTGTGGGTGGAGAATTGGGTGTTGAGGTGAAGTAGAGATGCTGGGTTGAACCAGCGCCATCTTGGCCATGTGGTGGATGGGAGGGTTTCACTGGTGCCACCCTGTCTTCAGGGTGGAGTCAGGGAAGTCCCACCTCCAGATGTTGGAAGGGCCTGAGTTCCTGGAGGCGGGGGCGGGACTTGCCTGGGGCCCTGCCTCCCCACCTGACCCTTATCTAGGCCTAGATGAGCTCAGTCACACTATGCCTGTGGCTCGGTGTTGCCATGTGTGTCCCCTGGCCCTCTTCGGGTCAAATTGGCGTCCCACTTCAACTCCCCACTGGAGTGGATCTGGTTTGTTGCTATTGTATTTCTGCTGCTTCTTTTCTCTCTGGCTCTCGTGGCTCAGTTTTTTTGTTTTTGTTTTTGGTCAGTCATGGGGCTTGAACTCTGGGCCTGGGCGCCGTCCCTCAGCTCAAGGCGAGCGCTCTACCATTGGAGCCACAACTCCACTTCTGGCTTTTTCTGCTTACGGGGTGCTGCGGAATCAAACCCAGGGCCTCATGCACGCGAGGCAAATAGTCTACCACTGAGCCACCTTCCCATCCCCATGGCTGTTTTCTAACCGTGTTAAGTATATTTGCAGGCTGCTGGTCTGGCCTTAGTGACTGTAGACCTATAGACCCCCGGCACTCCAATAAAGCCTCCAAAAAACGATCACTCAAAATGTGGCTTCTCTGTTTTCTCACTGTACAACAGTGGAGGTCAAGGCAGTGCTAAAAGGGTGGTACCAATATGTGGGGGGAACTTTTAAGATAGCAGCTCTGAATGTTCTAGAAGTGACTCTGGAGAAAGAGACAGACCATCTGTGTTCATTTCCCTCAGAGGCCAAGGAGTTGGTTAGGAAAGACTATTTTTCAAGAATAGTTTGGAAAATGTGTGTGGTCTGGAGATGGCCAGGCTCCAGATCTCACTAATAGATTTTAACTCACGATTTTACCAGAACTCTTGAGGCCTAGCCTCAATAATCAAGAAAACACAGAGCAGATGTTAGCATGATTCAGGTAGAACAACACCAGCCTGTGTTTGAAAATGGCAAACCCTGAGTTGGAGTCCTGGTCGCAGAAGAATAAGAACACATAGGAGTTTGGGCCCCAATGGCTTATACCCACAGTTCAAGCTACTGGAGGAAGTGGAGATCTGAGAGTGGAGATTCAAAGGCAGCTTTGGCAGGAATTTCTGCGAGATTCTCTCTTACTGACCAGCAAAATGCCCGACTGAAGGCATGGCTCAAGTGAGCAAAACAATGGAGAGTACCAGGGCGAGCTTCAAGCTTACAGGCGTCAGCTGCCCTTAAATAAGAGGAGATAATGTTTCAGGAAATAATCTCCCCCCCCCCCAGTCCTGGGGCTTGAACTCAGGGCCTGTGCGCTGTCCCTGAGCGTCTTTGCTCAAGGCTATCACTCTACCACTTGAACCACAATGCCACTTTAGGCCTTTTTCTGTATATGTGGTACTAAGGAATTGAACCCAGGGCTTCATGCATGCTGGGCAAGCACTTTTGCACTAGGCCACATTCCCAGCCCATATTGGTTTTTGTTCTTGGTTGTTAGGCTTGAACTCAGGGCCTAGGTGCTGTCCCTGAGCTTTTCTGCTCAAGGCTAGCACTGTACCACTGGAACCACCACTCTACTTCCCTTTTTTTCCCCTGGAGTGGTTCATTGGAGATAAGAGTCTCACAGACGGGCTGGGAAGGTGGCTCAGTGGTAGAGTGCTTGCCTTGCATGCATGAGGCCCTGGGTTCGAT